GGTTGAGCTGGTCGAGCTGGTAGAGCTGGTCGAGCTGGTAGAGGTGGTCTATTCAGTTGATGTGCTTGACGTACTAGAAGTTGAGCTGGTCGAGCTGGTCGAGCTCGTCGAGCTAGTAGAGCTGGTCGAGGTGGGCTCTTCAGTTGATGTGCTTGACGTACTAGAGGTTGAGCTGGTCAAGCTCGTCGAGCTAGTAGAGCTGGTCGAGCTGGTCGAGGTGGGCTCTTCAGTCGATGTGCTCGACGTGCTTGACGTACTAGAAGTTGAGCTGGTCGAGCTAGTAGAGCTGGTCGAGCTGGTCGAGCTGGGCTCTTCAGTTGATGTGCTCGACGTGCTTGACGTACTAGAGGTTGAGCTGGTCGAGCTAGTAGAGCTGGTAGAGCTGGTAGAGCTGGTAGAGCTGGTAGAGCTGGTAGAGCTGGTAGAGCTGGTAGAGCTGGTAGAGCTGGCAGAGGTGGGCTCTTCAGTTGATGTGCTTGACGTACTAGAGGTTGAGCTGGTCGAGCTAGTAGAGCTGGTAGAGCTAGTAGAGCTGGTCGTGCTGGTCGACCTGGTCGAGCTGGTAGAGCTAATCGAGGTGGGCTCTTCAGTCGATGTGCTCGACGTGCTTGACGTACTAGAAGTTGAGCTGGTCGAGCTAGTAGAGCTGGTCGAGCTGGTCGAGGTGGGCTCTTCAATTGATGTGCTCGACGTGCTTGACGTACTAGAAGTTGAGCTGGTCGAGCTAGTAGAGCTGGTAGAGCTGGTCGAGCTAGTAGAGCTGGTCGAGCTGGTCGAGGTGGGCTCTTCAGTTGATGTGCTTGACGTACTAGAGGTTGAGCTGGTCGAGCTCGTCGAGCTAGTAGAGCTGGTCGAGCTGGTCGAGGTGGGCTCTTCAGTCGATGTGCTCGACGTGCTTGACGTACTAGAAGTTGAGCTGGTCGAGCTAGTAGAGCTGGTCGAGCTGGTAGAGGTGGGCTCTTCAGTTGATGTGCTTGACGTACTAGAGGTTGAGCTGGTCGAGCTCGTCGAGCTAGTAGAGCTGGTCGAGCTGGTCGAGCTGGTCGAGGTGGGCTCTTCAGTTGATGTGCTTGACGTACTAGAGGTTGAGCTGGTCAAGCTCGTCGAGCTAGTAGAGCTGGTCGAGCTGGTCGAGGTGGGCTCTTCAGTCGATGTGCTCGACGTGCTTGACGTACTAGAAGTTGAGCTGGTCGAGCTAGTAGAGCTGGTCG